AGATAAAATTATTTCAAAAAGATGTTAAACTTGAAAGTATACGAAAGCGTAGTGAAAGTAAAATAGCAAAATTGAAATACAAACCAGATTTTATAGTGGTTCGGACGTCGTGATCTACATCTACTCTCAATTCCTCTTCACTCGAGGCCACTAGCTTTCACTATCGATCTTCTTTCAATGGGCAAAGATCAACTACCCTACTACACCCATCTTCTCCTTTTTCATAGGTTTAGGAGACAATCTTTTACAAGCACTCACTCCTCCCTAAATAGAATTCTAAACTTTAGAACTAGAGGAGGGGATTTCTCAAGTGATTGCTATAGTATTTTCCCACGTTTAAGTTCGCTATGCTTGTGTTTATTAACCAGGATGAGAGGGGTACTTATAGGCTCCAAATGGATTCAAACTTGGAGCCAAAACTAATCTCATCTTGGGTCTTCCGGGTACTAGTGGTATCACCGCCAGTGCGATACCATCGCCTGTAGCACTGACACTGGGCGGTACCACCGTCTGACACCCTACCACTGGGCGGTACCACTGCCTGACACCCTACCACTAGGCGGTACCACTGCCTAGTTTAGTGGTACCACGACCTGACACGCCCTCGGAGACTATGCCACTGACAATTCCACCTGTTGGGTTAGTATTTTGGCCTTTCACTTGGCCCAATATAACTCAAACTTAGGCTCAATTGGCCCCTAATTGAGTTAGTTCAATTCCAATCCAATTACACCTAAAACCTACTTCGATCTAGATAATTATTATAAAGTTAAATCAAATATTGTTTGACATGTCATTGGTTCATCGATATCTCATCCGATTCTTCGGCGTATCGTCCTCTCTTACGGCCTATTGCCCAATCGGCTAGTTGACCTCTGCAACTTCGATTTCCTTAGTGTAATTTTCGCTCTTCTTGGTTTGATGCCCGAACCCATGGCCCGATACCTTCTACCGATAAGTCAATCGATCCTTCAGCTCGACGTTCAATCTTCTGACATGTTCAACTCCGGCCCAACATGATTCTTCCTGCTTAATTATCTCTCCCTGATCGAAGCTTCCTACATCACTTAAAACGTATATCAAATCATAAACACTATCAATTGGTTTTATCATCAAAATCTGAGATTCAACATGGCCTTCCAACACATCGTAGGCTTCCGCCACTTCCGATTATGCTCTTTCCTTTGGTAATCGACCTTTATCCACCTGCCCTTAGGCTACACCCAAATAAAGTGTAGCTCTAAAACAATCAATTGCCTAGTATATCTCGAAGTCCATCGACTTCGTTGAAGTTGGTGTGCTAATTGGCTCAATCCTAAGCCCTTGCCCCCAGCACAATCTCCACTATGCACTACTTCCTTCTGGGTAACTCGAATAGTATTATGGTATATTCCTCAAGAGTACATGCCTTCGTTTCCTCTTACCCTACGCCAAGACCTTATTGCCCCAACTTCACCTCTGCACATTGAGTTACCTTAGTTCCTCCATCAAATGCTTTATCGAGATAAGGTGCATATACCTCGAAGCTCCCTTTGACTTTGACATCATATAAGATGAGTTTGCTCCCTCAGAATAAGAGACCCATGGAATAACATGACCTCACTCTTGCTTTTGTAAGAGTTCATGCCCTTGACCTCTATCCAGGGAAAGCTTCGTGCCTTCACTTCATGTCTTGTCTTCTATATCGACTCCATTCATGTAACTTGGGTACTTCACCAAGTTCCACTCAAGTTATTCCATATCTCAATTTACATTAAATTGATGGTGGCCCTCGCGCTTACCATTCCACAAGTCAGCCCTCCATTAAGTCTGATCTCTATATTGACCTTAAGTGCATCTTCGTTTAGTGTTGCTTTGGGTCGCTCCCCCACTTGATCTCGCAATGCACTCACGAACGCATGAACTCGTGCAAGATTATTTGATGACTCCTCATTACTCATTCAATCTATTGAGCTTTATAGGGTTGTTGTATTGAAATACCCCTTCTCAACATGTGGTCTGTTGTACATATTCTCCCTTTCGAGAATTAGAATGTACTCATCTAGGATTTCTATCTTATTAGAGCAGCTTTTCTTTTTGCATCTTTTCTTTTGAAAGTTTTAGAGACTATCATCCTCTTGGACTGCTCTGTTTTACTAAACAAACTATGCATTATTCTACTTTCATAAATGTACTTGCTAGATTACTACTCTTCGCTAATACAGCTTTTGTTACACCTTTCAAGGCCTAATAAAATGTTGAACTTGTTATATATTTTAGCCTCTTATGGACATATCCTTCATATGCCGAAGAGAAAGTTTCAATGCTCCATGGTATCGAGTTTCAATCGTATTGGGATGGCTACCAAATTCTTCGAGTTAGTAATTCTCATCATCTTTGTGAGCTTTGCATAACTCTTTATGTCGCTAAGCAACCCATCCCCCCTGCACGATTTCATCTTTTGCTAAGCACCCCACTTGCTTTGATATCATTAGGTTTGGTTACCAATATCAAGTCATAGCTTGAACTTAGCCATCTCAATCTTTGTGTACTATATGTTCTTCCCACCTTGCTTATCCTCATAGTGCCTCTTACACGAAGGGTTAGTCATTCCTCTGAATGTTAATCTCATATGCTCGTACCTCTAAGTGACTTCTTTTACTATGTCTCATAGCCCATTTCCATTAAACGATTGCACATGCTGATTACTCTCTATGGAGCTCCACTAGGTCCCTTGTGTTTATATGTCAAGTATTTCATAGTATACCTATTCCATTTTAATACCATTTGTCACGGACTTAGCTGATTTTGCCTAAGTCGTATGACACCCTTGCATGTCCATCCACAAAGGATCAATCTCTCTAAAATCTCTTATGGTCCCTTAAGGACTTATAAAAGAGAAGACATATTAAAGGAAGCATTTAACTAAGAATCCAATAAATTATCATTTCAATAAATACTTGGTAGACAATGTAAATTATAATCATAAACTTTGCAAGCTCTGAATGATCATGCGATAAAGAATCTATGGTAGTCCGTCGTGATCAAAAGTCTCCACAAGTGCCCATATGATATTGCTGCAAAACAAGACAGCAAACTAGCCCTAAACACCGCCATAAAAGCATATTCAATTATATGCCACCTAGGTAGCTCCTAGGTGTTATATTAGTTGAAACTTCGTACTATTCTACGGAGCTAGAAAACTCCTAAAATAGTTTCCTATATGACTTGTTTCTTAGTAGTTTTACTTTTTTGAATAACTTGTTTCTTAGTAGTTTTACCTCTACATGATTTTTACACATAATTTATGTTTACAAGCCTAAAACGATCATAAAAGTCAACCAAAATGAGATCACCAAATCTACTATAAACCCTTTATATATTATGCAAAGCACGAACAAAACCAAAGATACGAATATACATGAGTATTATATTAAATATTATGTTTATAATTTTATCCGTGATAAGGTGTCGAATGCCACACAATATGATTTTATTCTTATTACTTTATTGATAATACAACAAGTGACTATAATAATTTTTTTCTTTTAAGAATTATCATCCAAATCCATGGAGGAAAGTTGATATAAAATTATTGGATTCAGCCACAATTTTATTGCCCCAAGTCATCTCTCCACTTTGGAGGTGAAGCTTGGACCGGAAAAGAGTATTCAATGATGTTGATGGTGGCTGTATATTCCAAATGAAGAAAGCAAGCACACAAATGCCATCATTTGTGTATTTATTTATTCATCACAGAGTACATAATTTTTTTATCAAATTCTTCGCTACAGATATAATTTTTATTTAATTTATTAAAATTTATAAGTACATATTATATTCTTTCTTGATAATTTTGTGATTTAAGATAATTCACTAAAAAAATATTTATTCTGGTATCGAATTATATTTTTTTTCATTTTTATTTATTTACCAGTATAAAATGCATTTATGATTAGTTGGCTTATATCATGCACTTTAATGCCATTCACATGGCCAAATTATATCATATTATAGGCGAGAGAGGATACTAAGGCAAATAAATATATTGAATTATTTCCCAATACCTTAAGCCTTTGAGACTTGCTGTAATCCAATGAAAAATATTTGTTAATATTTGTGATACTTATTCTTAATTCTTCTGAAATCATTTTGTGCTATTAAATCATAACTTTAGACATAATTGTTTTTAAAAAAATCTACATATCAATCTTTTTTTAATGAAGGATATATGATGAAGGTGAGATTTGAGCTAATTAATATCTCCAAAAAAATATGTCAATCGAGGTTTTAAACCTTAGACCAATATTTAAAGTATAAAATATATTGAATAAGATTTCGAATCCTCAAACTTTGATAAGTTGATTTTGAACCTTGGATAAATTAATTTTATGATATATGTATTAATGTGTTCATGCATCACACAAAAAACGAGTGACTGTGAAACAGAAACAAACAATGATACAAAGGACACCTACATATTTATATTAATGTTATCAGTATTGTGTATGATTAGCATACGTTAATAATGATAGATGTAGACTGTCAACCAAAACACTATGTTACTTTTATTTTTCCTGTTTTTGGAAAGAAAACCAGACAATTTTGTTGCTTAATGATCTTCCTTTTATTTTTTCGGATTCACAAAAACTTTCAACTCTTCAGCACACAATCGTACGTGATGTCCGATTTGTGAATACATATTATATAGTATCTTCAATCCATTGTGTTCTTGTCTGGGGCTCAGCGGCAGCTATGGCTGATAACATAGTCACTGTGACACTTCATTTTCTGTGATCGATAAGTCACATTTTGTTCCTTCGGCCATGAGCACTGTATCATCTCCGTCAGCAACTTCTGCACCCCTCGCCCCATGGACTTGCACGACCTTTTGTACTCCCTTCTCCAGCCACTGTGACAGGGACATGACCACCACCTACTTTGTATCTTCTTCCATGAACACTGTGACAGGATCTGAATCCCAACATTTGCATATATAGCAAGAAAGCACTCCTCGGGAGTAGGATAAAAGATCAACTAGTAATACGACAAAGTTACAGGCCCTCGGCCAATCATAAAGATTAGCCATGAATTTGAGTCCATATCCTTGAAGCAGAGGAACTCAGGCTCTGGTTAGGAAAAATGGAGCGGCGCACGGCTTCTTCCAGCGCCCGTCCCTGAGCGAGGCCACGACATGCTCCATGAAGGCCGCGTCACACGGCAGCGTGATGGGGCGGTCGCCGACCGGCACCCCGTATTCCTCCTCCGACATCCGGAACAACTCCTGGAAGATGTTGCTCTTCAGGTACGCTATCGGCACCACAAACCGCCGCCCCTCCCGTGTGTACACCGCGAAGTGGCCCTTGCGAACCACCCGCGAGGTGCCGGAAGAGCCAGAACCACCATTGTCTCTGCCTTTGGAGAGACAGAGCCTCGACCTTCTCCCTGCCATCTCGAGGGTTCTCTTACGGCCTGTGGATCCAAAGGCGAGGCAGTGGATTAAGGAGGAGGTACAGAATCATAGATTGCGGTGGTGGAGATGGGGGTGCCTCGGTCTGGTTATAAATAGATGCGTCGAGGCCTATGACTTTGCGGGGATAAGAGGGAGGGTGCTGCAACATGTGAAATCCATGGCGTTTCCGAAAGTTGACAAGGAGAGGCAGATCCAATGTCTGCTCCTCCCAACAGTAAACTCTCCTTTCATGGATTCAAAAGGCTCAGCGACAAGACGAGTGAAATGGCACCGTGCTCTCCTTCCTTGTTGTACTTTTGCTTTAAAAGGCTCAGAGAAAAGCACTGCAATAGCTACGCTGATGGGTAGACAAGACGAGTGAAATGGCACCGTACTCTCCTTCCTTGTACTTTGCTTTCACTGCGTGTTAAGGTTGGCGTTGATTTTGATACTGTGGGGTATGGTGGCTCTGCTAGCAGAGAAGGATTGCCGGAATCATCAGAGCCACACTTGTTCCTCTTGTCGTCTTGTGAGGGGTCGTCCTGATGAATGTCGTCGCCCTCTGACATCGTGACTCAGCCTCGCTGTGACAACTGCATATTATGCACTGCAACAGATGTCGATTGTGTCGCTTGCTCGCTCGCTCGCTCGTCATGAATCTTATCAGCTTTTGGAGATCTATTACTCTGAGAAGCTAACGAGCTTCATTTCCTAGACGATTCTTCCACTGTAACCCACCCTGGTTTAAGCAGCTGAGTGTGCGAACATATCCGAGTTAGTGGTAGGAGGTGGGGGACTTGTCACGTACAATATTCATCGTCTCGGGGGCGGGCCACTCTCACTGCATCACTGGCTCTCCGGGCTCCAACCATCTTTCTCAGGACTTCCGGCAGCTCATGTGCGTTTACTCCTGTCCGCTCACGCCCTTAAAGTCGTGCCAAGGACGCCATGAGGGCTTCTTGGGGGCAGCTCCCCACATATTTATGAGCGAGGATAAAAACTCTTCACGTCAGGCATGCATCTTTGGCTTGCACACATTCATCATCACCGGTAAATTCTCGGTTTGTTGGGTGAAGCGTAGCTGTTGACGCTGGTGTCTATGTTTCTCCTGGTCTTGTTTGTTTTGGTGTTTGTGGCGGAGCATGTGTGGCTCAGAATCGGCTGATTTGGGCATGCTATTAATGCAGAAAAATCTGGCACAGTTGGAAACGCCAGCTTCGATCTTTTACCTTGCAGGACTGGATGAGGAATCCTGAAGCCCCTTCGTTGTTGTCTGTGAACCTATGTTTGCGTAAACAGCGGGGGATTTGCTTGGGCTATACTTATCTGTTCTTTCCGGTGCTGCAGGGAACGAGCTGCGGTTTGCAGTCCAGGGTTCATGACGTGCACGCTAAGCATGTGGAAACTGTGGATGGAAGGGTTTGAGTTCATGAGTTGTCTCGATAGGATCATTATTCTACGTAGTGTGTCATGGTAGCAGAGCACTTGTGATGGAGTGAATCGCTGGTGAATGGTGTAGCTTTCGGAGTTTTGCTTCTCTGCTTCCTTCGTCTTCATTGCTGGGACTGCTGCTTGTGGCTGAGATTGTGTTGAATTAATTGTAGTTGGTTGTTCATGCTTGTCCTCACTGCAAACACACAAATAAAAAACTCTTGAGCTTTTGCAGCCAACTGATACTTGGCCTCAACTTTGCATTACAAAGAACATGAAGATTAAATACTTGTGTAGAAAATATATAGCAAAGACAAATAATTGGTTGATCTGAAGATGGAAGAGTAGGTTGCAAACGGATCACATGTTATGCTTCTATAAATTCTTGTTCTCTCAACTATGAACATTACCATCGATAAATGGACATAGCAAATATTAAGATTACATTGATTGGATGAAAGCAAGCTCGATAAACAATGTTATCGAATACATCAAACTGACTCAAAAACATTGATTGACTGGCTGTAAAAACATTTCAGGAGGAATCAGCCAAAGATGTTTCCAACCCATCATCTAAGGATTTGTTTGCTTGCATAGGAGGGAGCAGACAATATCTAACATTGTGTTGGACAGATTTTGCTGTCCCCAAGCAATCGAGTGGCCCTATTTAGCTCTATAAAATCTATCCAAGGCCATGGTTTTCTCGAGTCCTGAGACTCGATCGCTGATCTCAAGTTTCTCACCGCTGAAAGTTTGATTTATATCTTCCTGTTGATGCACTCCGCATGTCATGCTTATGTCTCCACCTTATTGCTTTCCTTTCTTATTTATATATGCTACCTTTTATCTCACTAGAGGAAATAAGTAAAAACCATGCATCGGGAAGGTTGTCTATGTTGTGTTGACAACCCATATTCAACTCAATGTGGGTTTTATCAGCTCACATATAATCTTTTTTTAATCTAATCCTAATTAATATTAGGGGGGTATGGTGGCCGCCAAAAACTTCATAAATAGGGCAGCAATATCAAAGATCTTCGCAACAGAGGAGAAGAAAAAGATAGAAAAACAATAGAAAGAAATGAAAGAAAACAAAGACAACACAGAGAGACTATTCTCAATCATCTAGTAGTGTTCTCATCTAAGGTTAGATCAAATCTACAGTAGACTCTTACTATGATTACTTGGGGAGGTTTTAGATATTGTGGACAGTGACGTAATCCTTGTATCCCAATTATTCTCTTGTGATTATTACTAGGGTTTAGAGCAAGAGATTAAGATTTGTATATTCATTATTCTCATAGTGTTATCTCTAGTTTGCCCCGTGGTTTTTACCCTTCACATTGGAGGAGAAAGTTATTTCTCTTTATATCCCATCAGTCTAAATATTATATGCATACAAAAGTTGTAAATGCATCACCGTAGGACTTGTTATCGAATCCAAGGAGGAATGTTCCTTCCTTGGGTCAAGTACACCATGAAAGTCTACCAATTCACTTATGACTTCAATTTTTATCTTAGAATTATCTTAGAGAGTCAGATGATCTTCTCAGGCACCTCATCTGATCTTGATCTTTATGTGAATTAATCATTGAAGGCACTCGAGGTACCTCTTCAGTGATAGCAAATAAGATTTTTCCAATTGCACGAAGAACTCTCGTTGTTTTGTTAAAGAAAATCTTCCCTCCTAACTTGTATAAATAATGAGAACATATCAATAAACTTCAACAAAACATATCTTCTATTCATGGTATCAAAGTAGTGAGCAAGACTCCTACTCCTCCTCTCGACGATCTTTCACGCTTCTTCCTTTCCCTCGACAATCAACCATCTAATCTCCTATCTTCCTCCAGAGCACCGATGACACCACTGTATTTCGCCAAGACTAGTTGTTCTTCCTCACCGACTACCACATCTGCATGGATGTTCTCCCCAACTATGAAGTCGGCCACTATATGCATCTTGTGATGGGATATAAAGTGGAATAACTTTTGTATATGAACAAGTACTAGTAGGTCATGATATGCAACAGAATTAAATGAAATCACAATCAAATAGAACACCAAGATATATGTGGAAAACATCTCCAATGTGAAGGGTAAAAACTATGGGACAAACTAGAGATAATTTACTATGAGAATAATGAATATACAAATCTCAATCTCTTGCTCTAAATTCTAGCAACAATCACAAGAGAATAAGTAGGATACAAGGATCACGTCACTGTCCACAATATCTAAAACATCCCCAAGTAATCACAGCAAGAGTCTACTATAGATTTGATCTAATATGAGATGAGAATACTACTAGATGATTGAATACAGTCTTTCTGTGTTATCCTTATTTTCTTCCATTTCTTTCTCTTGTTTTTTTACCTTTTTCTTCTCCTCTTTGCTGTTGTGAAGATCTCTCTATGTTGCTGTCATTTTCTGCCCAAAAAACACAGTCACCTTCGCCTCAAAATGTAGCCACCATATTCCTCTTGTATTGATCTAGAATTAGATCAAAGGGGTGTAGATTGTGGACTGATAAATCCACGATGAGTTAACCCATTTTAAACTGTCAACCCAACATCTTGTCCCATCTTGCCACCACCTTTCCGGCTGCCAAACTCAGTCGAACACTGTGATATGCACCGATTGCAGCCGACCCTCCTCCTCACTACCAACGAGCGAGTAGTCGTAACCCTCTACTATTGCTCTCTGAACTCTGCCACTGACCACTGTGCTACCTAGTACTGCAGTAGGGCTACGATAGTTCCCTACCCAGCACTGCGACGGCATGACTCATCCCATCCCATCACACCCCAACACTCCCTCCTTGTCATCGTTTGATCTGCAGAAGTGGCTGCCCCTCCTCTTCATTGGCGAGAAGCCCTTCCCAATAGATCTGCACCTTTTTCCTTCGGCGGTTGTGGTCTATTAATCGTGGGCCACTCACTTCTTCTTCCTCATCGCCATTGATTCCCAATCATTGCCGCGCTACCAGGGGGCAACCATCCTTGCCAAGCATTCGCTGGGCCCAGTCTGCATTGCAACAGTGCCCTAGGTGTGGCGTTTGGCGAAGTTGCACCGAGGCGAGTATAGCTCCATCGCGTCTTGCTCCACCTTGCACAGCACCCTTTGGAAGAGCTCGACGCCGCAGGGGAGCTCGAGCGGCCCGGTGGTGGCGTACTCGAATTCCTTCTCCGCCTCATCGAGCAGCATCTGGAACAACTGGTGGTTGACGCACTCGGTGTGGACCACGAACCGCTCCCTCTCTGGCCTAACGTACACCGAGAAGCAACCCTCTGGTGGCATCTATCGTTGCTAACCCTCCTCACTACAACTCCCTGAAGCCGCAGTCGCAATACTATACCATCACAGACCTGTAGATCACTCACAGATCTACGGCAAGAACTATAGATCTCTCATAGATTATAGTGATCACTATAGCAAACTGCAGCCAAAGACTTCCATTGCCAAAGGCTCCTTCCCCAGAAGATTTTCCCCCTATTTCTCCTTTCCCAAGTGGGTGTTCGACGAACGACAACCTATGTTCGTGCACAAGGTGACCCCTTCCCCTCAATGCAGCATCCCTCTTTCTTCTCTCTTCCCCATGGAGGACGCTCCTAAGGGAAGCGCAGGTGCTGCAAGCACTGCATCATCTTCCTTGCCATTGTAGAATTTAAAGGAACTTATGGTCCGGCCCAAATCTACCACCTCTGGTGACGTTGATCAGATCAACACTTTCCTCCTTGGTGAATGACGACTATCTTCTTCCGCTACCACTTTGCGCT